CAGCGCAGCCGGAGTGCTGCGGGCACAGCATGGCGTCAGTCGGGGGTGCGGCCACTTCTCACCCTCGGGCGGGAAGGACCCATCTAGAAGCAGTGACCCAGGAGGCCCCCTGGGAATAGGCCGCATGGGGCGGGGACCCCGCGGAGCTCCCCCAAATCCAGTCTCTAACCTCAAGGGTCTGTCCACATGGAGCGCCACAGCTGACCTATGTCAGCGGGGACAGAGCCTGTGAACGTGAACGTCCAGGGAAGAGCAGCTCCCACCTCCTGCCCGCCCCGGGCCGTCCTCCTGGAAAACCCTTTACCCACCCGGCTCTGCATGCCTCCTGCCCTCGTCACCCTCGTTTGGGGTGAAACTAACTCCTTCACGCGGGTTTAGTGACAGAAAACGCATGGTTACGCAGGTACCAGCATGTAGGCCAATCAGCCTCCGTCCTTCCGTCCGTCCCTCACATGGGCGTGCTATCCGTCAACCTCAGATACACTGTGAACACACTGACCCTGTCCCCATGGAGCCACTGGTCCGGCTGGAGAGCCAGCCTGACGGCCACACCAGGCCTCACGCTGCTTCCAGGGCTCTGCGGGCGAGTCCCATACCTGAGGACGAAGGTGTGTCTGGAGTTCCGTTCAAACAGCGGCTTCTCTGGGCAGCAGAGCTCTCTGGGCTCTGAAAGTCCATCTTCACCACATAAAACGATGTAGACCTCAAAACACAGACACGGGGTCAGAGTTCAATTACCGAACCCGTGACCCTAACCAGTGCTGGGCAGGGCCCCCTTGCACCCTGCTCCCACCCCCATCCAGGAAGCCAGTGCCCCATGTGGACCCCGCGACCTGTCCCGGGACAGTCCCTGCCAGGGGGGAGGGGGTAGGAAAGGCCAGATGCCCCTTCGGGTCACTGGGCACATGGCTAGCTCATGTGTGGCCGAGTGGCTGTCTCACGCGTGGGCCCGCCCTCCTCCCTGCACTTAGGGGACCGGGTGGGTGAGGGGCACCATAGACACAGGGTGTGTGTCCTCAGCAGCTGGGCTCGCTGCTCCTTGCTGGGCGGCTTTTGTGGTAAGAAACGTACAATTCTGATGCAGTGCCATCTACCCACCTTCACTGAGGAAAAACCCTTACTTATTTCTGCTCTTATACATCCTTTCCCGTCGCCAGGGGCGTACAGCCTTGGAGTGACTTCTAAGTGTTTTCACCTTTAAGTCTCTAGCCTTCAGGAGCGCGTTTCTGGGCATCGCGTGACATGAAGGTTTCACGTTGCTTTTCCACACGAAGCCACCACCCTGAGCACCTCACTGCGTGACCCCTGCTCTGCTCGGGGCTGCACGGCCCCGACATGCCTCATCTGCAGTCTGCCCCATGCACCTGTCTGTCCGTCTCCTGACATGCGACACTATCCTAGCCCGTCCCACTCCAGCTGCCTGGTGCCCCTCGGAGTCTGCCTGCTCCCTCTGCTGGTGACACCACCCTCTAAGTCTCTGATTTCTTGTGTTTTCTTCCAGGTAAATGCTAGAATCCGTTTTTCAAGCTCCACAAAACCCTTCCTAAAGTTTTGGTTGGACTTCATTGACTTTAACCTCTTTGTGCCTGGTTTTCACCTGTAAAATGGGTCTATTAATAGAACTCTTTCCAAAGTGTTTTGAGGTTTGGGGGGAGTAAAAAAAAAACTAAGTCTCTGATTTCTTGTGTTTTCTTCCAGGTAAATATTAGAATCCGTTTTTCAAGCTCCACAAAACCCTTCCTGAAGTTTTGGTTGGACTTCATGGACGTTAACCTCTTTGTGCCTGGTTTTCACCTGTAAAATGGGTCTATTAATAGAACTCTTTCCAAAATGTTTTGAGGTTTGGGAGTAAAAAAACCCCAACATAGTAAAGTCCTAATTCCTGTTAGCTGGTGTTATTACTGTTAATGTTAAAGGTTAATGTGGGAGAAATTACAAGGAAAACTGGTTTTCTCGTCCATGTCAGAACAATCTATAAAGGAAACCTAATGCCATACCACGAAATTGGGGCACCCTCAGCTCTTCCTTCTAAACTACCCTTTTCTGTTTGCAGATTCTCATTCATATATATACTAGAGGCCTGGTGCATGTGGGGTCCCTCAGCCTGGCCTGTGCCTTCTCACAATCTGGGAGCCCTTGGGGGATGTAGTAGTGCTCCAAGTGTCAGACGGCCGGGGAGGAGCCCAAGCCTGGACCGGGCTCTGCACTGCTCCCACTCATCCTGGCCCCACTGCACCTGCCACCGCCACTGCTCAGTAGCAGTGCCGCGGAGGCAGGAGAGGCTCACACCACCGCAACATCACTCGCCAGCCATGAGCCTGGCATCTGGCATCCGTCAGTCAGCTGAGCTGCGCTCCTGCTGTGGGAGCACACTAACCAACAGGGTGTAGCTCCTACACTGAGCATCTGCCCCCTGGTGGTCAGTGCACATCATAGCGACCGGTCGTTAGCCATTTGGTCAATTTGCATATTAGCCTTTTATTATACAGGATATTTTATGCATATTGTGCCAGTTTTCTCATGATGGTCTTGTGGGTGCCCGGTGTGGTCATGATGGGGAACATGTGGTCTCAGTTATGTGTCCTATGTGGTCCTTGTTGTTGCATGAAGATGCCTTTGAGGGTTTTTACTGTGAGAATAAACAAGTCATCTTTTCTGTCAGAGAGCAGTTTAGGCAGCCGCCATCTTGGCTGCGTGACTTGGCAGCCGCCATGCTGGCCGCAGGGCTTGCGGCTCCCTGGGGGCCGCCATATTGAAATGGCAAAGGCCAACCCCTCCCTTTGAATCAGCCAATCGCGCAGACTGTGTGCCTGCGCTCCAGTCAGGAGTGAGGGCAGGCCAGGGGCGGCTCCGGACCAGGTGCCTCCTGCAGGAGGAGAGACGCGGCCTGCTGCCCGGCCCTGAGTGTGCTGCCTGTTCCACCAGGACCCTGGAGGGGGGCTCGCCTTACTCTTACATTTACTGAACCATGGAATCCAGCGATTTTGTTAAACTTTCATATTGATTCTCATTATTTGACTGAAGACCCTCTTACATTTTCTATGCAGACATCAGATCGCCTGCCAGGAACTAATGTTCTCTCCTTCCAAACCTTAGATTCTTGTTTTGTTCTTGTCCTATTGTCCTCCCTGGAGTTTCCAGGACAGGACGGACAGACAGATGGCCACATCGCCAAGCCATGCACCCACACCTGCGCACACACCGTCCACACCCACACGTGTCTCCTGGATGCCCAGGCACCTTTGCGGTGAAGCGGGCCGGAGCCCGGAAGCCTGTGTCCACGACAACCGCGTACAGCTGGTGACTGGGCGGGGCACTGTCTTGCAGGAAAATGTAACCCGTTTTCTTTTTCTCGCGACGATCCATACGTTTGCTTTTAGTGACCAAAAGGGCATAAAGAATTGTAATGGCCACAATAAAAATACTGGGGAGCAGGTTTTCCGGGCGTCTGTAAATAAAGGAGCAGAATAGACAGGGAAAATAAACATGTAATCAGAGACCAGCCGATGTTCCCCACACAGGGCTAATATATGTGCACACACACAGGGCTAACACATGCACACTCATGCACTGGCTAACACACACGTGCACACTGGCCAACTCACATGCACATAGGGCCAACACATGCTCACACATGCATACTGGCTAATACACGTGCACACACAGGGCTAACGTGCACATATACGCACATACACTGGCTAATTCACATGCACACACACAGGACTTACACAGGCACACTCATGTACTGGCTAACACACATTTGCATACACATGCACACTGGCTAATTAACGTGCACATACACACATGGCACACATGTTCACACGTGCACACTGGCTAACACGTGTGCAGACACACCTAACACACGTCCTATTGTCCTCCCTGGAGTTTCCAGGACAGGACGGACAGACAGATGGCCACATCGCCAAGCCATGCACCCACACCTGCGCACACACCGTCCACACCCACACGTGTCTCCTGGATGCCCAGGCACCTTTGCGGTGAAGCGGGCCGGAGCCCGGAAGCCTGTGTCCACGACAACCGCGTACAGCTGGTGACTGGGCGGGGCACTGTCTTGCAGGAAAATGTAACCCGTTTTCTTTTTCTCGCGACGATCCATACGTTTGCTTTTAGTGACCAAAAGGGCATAAAGAATTGTAATGGCCACAATAAAAATACTGGGGAGCAGGTTTTCCGGGCGTCTGTAAATAAAGGAGCAGAATAGACAGGGAAAATAAACATGTAATCAGAGACCAGCCGATGTTCCCCACACAGGGCTAATATATGTGCACACACACAGGGCTAACGCATGTGCACACACACACAAGGCTAACACATGCACACTCATGCACTGGCTAACACACACGTGCACACTGGCCAACTCACATGCACATAGGGCCAACACATGCTCACACATGCATACTGGCTAATACACATGCACACACAGGGCTAACGTGCACATATACGCATATACACTGGCTAATTCACATGCACACACAGGGCTAACACATGCACACACACAGGGCTTACACAGGCACACTCATGTACTGGCTAACACACATCTGCATACACATGCACACTGGCTAATTAACGTGCACATACACACATGGCACACATGTTCACACGTGCACACTGGCTACACGTGTGCCAGACACACAGGTCTAACACACGTGCACACACACACAGAAAGGGGTTCCCCAGCCCAGTGGTGTCTGAAAGCACAGAGGTACCAGCTGTTCCCTGTGTCCTAGTCCCTGACTCCTGGTGACCTCACACCACCAGCATCGGCAGCATCAGTCATTGGCTTATTCCTAACTAGGGAGCCACTCACATTACCCAGGAACCCACTCTCGCCTATTAAATGACCAGGCGGCGTCCCTAAGGCATACATGTGAGGAGGAGAATGACACCCAGCACCCGGGAATGCAGACTCTGGCCCCATGAATGAGGCGCTGACCCCGCACGGCCTTGGCAGCCTGGTGCCCCATGTGGGGGATGGACAGACAGATGGACGAGGCAGCGAGCTCCTGCCGCCCCGGGGGAAGGTGCAAGCTCCAGTGGCTCCCGTTACAGGTTACGACTCAGACCCAGCGTGAAGGGTCAGCTAGTGAGTTAGACGTGGGGCTCGGCCTCTGTGTCTGTGCGCGGCTTCCAAGGCCAGGACACTGCTGTCCTCGGCGTGGACCTGGGGCGCATCGCAGACATCTTTGTGAGGCCAGGGGACCAGAGTGCTGACATCTCCATGACAACGCCCTCCCACCCCCTCATCCCAGCCTCAGCCCAGGGACAGACTGTGCACTGTGTCCGCGGTCCGGGCGCAGCCAGTGCCCATCACAGGTCACCGTGAAGACGGACTCTCCCACAGTAAACCTGTCCCCCTCACTGCTCCGTGAGTAGGGCCCTTCGGCGCTGATTCTGTGCCCTGGCTCCTAGGTGCCAGCAGAGAACCATGTAGCAGAGAGCGGACAATTGCTTTAATGCAGAAACGAACACATGACTATCCCAGGGAACACTGAGCCTGACTGCCAGCCTGAGCAAGCTCCCGGCACCAGCGCTGTGTGCACCAGAGCGGACGTGAGAAGCCACGGATGGCGGCCGGGTGCCGCACACGGTGGTCTGGACACACGGATGGCGGCCGGGCGCCGCACACGGTGGTCTGGACACACGGATGGCGGCCGGGCGCCGCACACGGTGGTCTGGACACACGGATGGCGGCCGGGCGCCGCACACGGTGGTCTGGACACACGGATGGCGGCCGGGCGCCGCACACGGTGGTCTGGACACACGGATGGCGGCCGGGCGCCGCACACGGTGGTCTGGACACACGGATGGCGGCCGGGCGCCGCACACGGTGGTCTGGACACACGGATGGCGGCCGGGCGCCGCACACGGTGGTCTGGACACACGGATGGCGGCTGGGCGCCGCACACGGTGGTCTGGACACACTGCCTCCTCCCAGGCAGCTAGGAGATCGCTTTGTGATTCAACCTTTCTTAAGATGACGATGATTTCTACACGTGCCTACGAGGTGTTTCTACTGTAACAAACACAGCCACGGCCGCTGACAGAACAGCCAGCTCTGCATCTAGAAACGAACACATGACTATCCCAGGGAACACTGAGCCTGACTGCCAGCCTGAGCAAGCTCCCGGCACCAGCGCTGTGTGCACCAGAGCGGACGTGAGAAGCCACGGATGGCGGCCGGGTGCCGCACACGGTGGTCTGGACACACGGATGGCGGCCGGGCGCCGCACACGGTGGTCTGGACACACTGCCTCCTCCCAGGCAGCTAGGAGATCGCTTTGTGATTCAACCTTTCTTAAGATGACGATGATTTCTACACGTGCCTACGAGGTGTTTCTACTGTAACAAACACAGCCACGGCCGCTGACAGAACAGCCAGCTCTGCATCTGGATAAAGAATTCCTGACCGAGGGCCACGCCCGATGCTCCCGGAAATTCCTGGGCGGCTGCCGTCGGTGTAGCGACGCATGTCCTGTGGTAAAGGTCACCCTCACGACTACGCAGAGGGGCAGGCGCGGGGTCCCAGACGGGGCGGGGAGAGCAGAGCCCCCCCCCGAGGGGGGTGATCAGCTGAGCAGGACACAGCGACCCACACGGGTCTCATCCACCCACTGACTCCTTCGTCCACCAGATGTTCACTGAGCACCACCCACGTCCCGGGGGAGGCACCTGAACTCCCCTGGGGCTGCCGCAGGCGGGCCAGATGCGGGAGGAAGCCGTCCCTGCAAACCCGACTCCCGCAGCATCGCCTCACCTGCAGCTCACCTTCCCCGGGGGAGCTGCCGGCTATGGGGGGAGACTCTCAGGCTCCCGCCGTGGGTCCCAGAGCAGGCAGGGGACCCCCTGGAAACGCACCACGTAGCTCACGGTCTCGGCCAAGTACCTGTTGGGAGATTCCCTGTCGTAGTCCGCATCCAACAGGGACAGGTACCCCTGGGTGTGGCCTGAAAGATAAAATGTAAATTAAGAATCACAACCTGAGGTTTGGGAAAAGGCACTGCCTGTTCCTGCAGCGGACGAGCGGTGGACGGACAGCAGCACCGCGACACCCACGCCACAGCCGGGGCTTCATCACGGGACAGACAGAGGGCCACAGCGTCCCGTCCACCGACCTTCCAGCGCAGCCGCTGGCACGGAGACGTGCGCCGTGAGCCCCTCCCACAGGTGCAGCTGCCTCAGCAGGAAGTCGGCAGGAGTCGGCTTCTCGGAGAACCTGGGACAAGCAGAGCCGTGAGCACAGTCTGGTCTCGGTCTTTCCTCTCCGGGCTTTGCCACCTGCTTTTGTGCAGACACCCTTTCACCAGCGAGGCAGGCTGGGCCCCACGCACCACATCGTCACGAGAACTGTGTGACACTCACTCGTTGCTTCACTAGAATAAACACCAGCCTGGCCGGTGTGGCTCAGTGGTTGAGCATTGACCTACGAACCGGGAGGTCACAGTTCGATTCCTGTCAGGGCACATGCCTGGGTTTCAGGCTTGATCCCAGTGCGGGGCGTGCAGCAGGCAGCCCATCCATGATGTTTCTATCTCTCTCTCCCACTTCCTTCCTCTCTGCAATCTATAAAAATATATTTTTTTAAATGAAAGATTGAGAGTCCTGCCCAGACGTGCACTGAGAGTCCTGGACGGACACCTGCGCTCTCTCCACGGTCCAGTCTCCCCTGCAAACGGCAGGCTGGGTCCGTCTGAGGCAGCGACACCTCCTCCCTGAGCGGCCGTCACTCCATCTCTTCCACAACCCGCCGCACACCGCTGCAGAGTGCAACCTCACTCACAGGAGTTCTCACAGGCGCGTCTCCTGCCCTGACCCCATTTCCCACAGCGTCAGCCACGCACCTCACCAGCAACATGACGGGGAACGCCCTGGCGGCCGGCTGGGAGAACTCCACTCGGATCTGCAGGGCCTCCGGGCTGGCTGCAGACAGCCCAGCGAAGTGGTGGACGTTCACTCTATCCCGAAGCAGCACAAACGTCGTTTCATTTCTCCTGTCACCCTGTCAGCACGTGGACAACGAGCAGAATTGGCTTTCAGAAAAGTGAAGACGTCACATGTCACCAGGGCAGCCTAAACGCAGCTGAGGGGACCGGGCAGGGCTGTCCTCACCGGGCCATCTTCCTCCCCGAACTCCGTGGTCACGGGCGTCCTCAGCCGTGGCCTGTGCAGGGGCCTTCGGCTGGAGCAGCGGTGCAGGGACAGGGCCAGCAGAGTACCAACCTGGGGACACAGAGCACCTTGCAGTGTTGACGCCAGCCAGGTGGCGGCTACATCCTCAGGGAACACAGGGGTCACCGGCCAGAGGGGGTCACTGCAGGACTGGGTGGGGGATGGCTTCATGTGCACTGCTCTTATTAAGTTAATCATTCTTAAAGTTTGTTAAAGTATTTTATTTTTTATTCTAAAAGCTCTTATGAAAGCCACAGCTGCCGAGTGACAATGAGCAGAGGTGCAGACGGCCCCCAGCACTGCTGAGCCCTGCTGCGAGCCTTACCCGAGGACGCCTGCCGGGGGCGTCCCGGGCGCTCCTGAGTGGGGACACACTGGGCGGGCAGCAAATGTTCTACTTTTGTTTTTGCGTGAAATCTTCCAAAGCCACTACAACTCCCTGGTTGACATAGCTTGATTAGCTACCTATGGATTCCCCTGAGTGATGCATTCACATAACCAGTGGGCGGCTGTCTGCGGAGCAGCCAGGTTATCAGAACTACGGTCGTTCTGAATAAACACATAAAGCTTGTCGCTTTGAGGAAATCTCTCCTGTTTCCTGGGAGGTGGGGGGAGGAAACAACGGGTCCGGGTGTTTCTGGAGCCCTGGGCGCCTGGACGAAGTGCCTCCAGATGGGCAGACACCTGCTCGCTCCACCTCCACCTCCACCGGGTACGTCTCTACACAACTGCACTTTTTAGGTTGAAAAAACTCACTTTAATCTCTATTTCTTTATTGCTTGTTAGTTGGGATTATTTTCATGTCTATTTCCCTAAAAGGAGGTGTGTGACTGCTGTTGAAAATGAGCATTTTTAAACCACATGATGAGTTTGTCATTCATTTGTGTACGCTCGTCCATCAGACATTATCGGGGGCCCAGGGAGCCAGGCCCTCGAGCGAGAGTCTGCGCACAGAAACAGGAGCATGGTGCTGGGGCCCGGCCCCAACCCCCTCGACCTGGACACAAGCAGATGTGAAGCCCGTGTTCACAGCCCGGAAACGCTGGCACCTCCTCCCCGCGCCCCCACTGCCACACGCCCTCGGCTCTGGTCCCCTCGTGGCTCAGC